GATAAAAAAATCTTGTGATATCTAAGTCATAAGTAGGTAAAGCAGTGTATATGCCGTAAACTGTAGCATTAATGATGTAATATTACTTTAAAATTCGAGAGGAATTTAGCATTACATTGAACACTGTGCAAAAGCAAAAGTGAAGAATTCGTTGAGAGCACATTATCTTGAAAAAAAACCGAAGAAGGAACACTAACGATTGACAAAGAAGCCGAAAATCGAAAGGACGAAATATTGAACGCATTGGCAGATTCTCTGCATGCTATATCAGATCCTTAATCGAAAAAATAAATGTATTTGCTGAATGAGAAAACAAAATAAAACATAAATGTTTTTCGTTGAAATACTTTTTGCCATTTTAGGACATGCATTTTTTGTCTAAAATGCTTCGTAAAATTTAAGTTAAATTTTAACTTAAAGTTGAATTAATAAAAATTGGTAATATTGGAAAGGGCTTCATGAAACATGATTCAACGAAACAGTCGTCAAACATACTGTAATTTGGCTTTAAAATAATTACAAAATAAAATATTTGCTTATGCTTATTTCACATTATTTTAGTTTAAGAAATATTGATGAATTAAGATGTACGACAGAAAAACGATATTGCTAAAAGAACGACTATATTATTATTGAGAGAGAAGTAGCTAAAGTTATCCCATCGAACTCAGTTTAACTAATTAATGGGGCTTTTTCCCCTCTCGTTTTAATTTTCAATTACATTTTAACTTGTTCTTGAGCCACAGACTTTTCATTATTAAAATTTTCTCATAGGTCTTATTATAAAATTAATTGACTTTATCTAAAGTTTACGACTTCACTTTGGGGTCATCAATGTCTGACTTTAGTTTCTCTTTATCCGATTAAGTACATTTTTTGAAATCAATATTGCATTAAAACGTCTATGAAAACTCGATTAAAAAAATATCAAAGGTTTTTGTATGAGTTGTAAACGTATGATGACCTACAATTATTAGAATATATACATATGCATAGATTTCCTCAATAGAATGTTTTCAATATGTCTTTTAGATTGAACTAAGAAGCTTACTTTTATCATTAAATGCATTGCGCTTTATTATTTGAAATGAAATATACCTTAAGCAGTCCTTACGGTTGGCTTAAAATGTGGAGAATAGAAACGACTTGTCATTGAATGAAATATACTTCAAAAATCAAGGATTTCATAAATTGAACAGGAAAATAAGTGATAAAATATTAGAACTCAAAGTGGAATTAAACTTGTTTTAAAGAACTCTGTAAATGGATCATCCTATAAATAATTTCATTTCTATAAAAAAATAAAATTAAAGCTCGAACAAAGGAGAAACAGTGGACAGTGGCACTCTCCAATATAGCCGACTGACCAAGAATCGAAGCCGTTGCTAGAAGCTCGAACAAAGGAGAAACAGTGGACAGTGGCACTCTCAACATACCCGACTGGCCAAGAATCGAAGCCGTTGCTGAGTCTTACCTCGAAGAAAGGAGAAACAGTGGACAGTGGCACTCTTCGAACCGACTGGCCAGGAATCGAAGCCGTTGCCGACTGGCCAAGAATCGAAGCCGTTGCTGAGTCTTAGACTTTGGCCAAGAATCGAAGCCGTTGCTGAGTTTAGACTACGTACCGTGACACGGTTACCAAGAATCGAAGCCGTTGCTGAGTTTAGACTACTTGGCCAAGAATCGAAGCCGTTGCTGAGTTTAGACTACGTACTAGAGAAACAGTGGACAGTGGCACTCTCCGACATACCCGACTAGCCAAGAATCGAAGCCATTGCTGAGTTTAGACTACGTACCTGACACGGTTACCAAGAATCGAAGCCGTTGCTGAGTTTAGACTAGACTGGCCAAGAATCGAAGCCGTCGTTGAGTTTAGACTACGTACCGGACACGATTGCTTGGCAACTCACAAATTGGGATTATACACTCAACCCACATGCCCTCCATGTAACCCACAGATTGGAAGTATACCTTCAACCCACATGCCCTCTATGTAACCTACAGGAGGAAATGGAGAAGACCCACCTGATTCGGTGTTCAACCCTAAAGACTAGGACGGAAAGCCAAAGATACTGGGAAGCAAGAAGACTGCTAATGAACTGCTATTAATTAACTGCTATATATGTACCCCACCCCCACCCTTGGTGGAAGCCGAAGTCAAAGCTTAAGGGCTAATGATAAATAACATAAAGCTCGCCATTTGAAATAAATAATAAATACATTAAAACGCTTTAATATTGCAAAAGTCAATATTATCATTAAATAATCATCATTGGAAGTATTTTAATATTGCATATCATTTTATATCAAACGATTTCTACTTTCATTTATAATTCTTCCATTGAGCTCTTGTCCTTGTGATAACTTTGGTTATAACGAGCAAAATTTAAATTAAAAAATTGAGCAGGCTTCCACTTCAATCCCAACACAACATCGATATGTTTTGCATTAAAAAGTGAATATTTGTAATCATTAAAGTTGTTTTATAAGCCCACCTGAAAGTTTCAAAAATGTTACTTACATAATCACTTGTAAATTTAAAAAAAGATTATTCTTTAAATAGCCCATATTTTTGGAATAAGACTATCCTCTTCAGATTGATTTTATTTGTGTTTGTTGGAGTAAATGAAATTCAATTTTATTTGTCTCTTAAACCGCACGTTTAAACACTTTGAGGATTCTGATGATCCGATGTTAGCTGAACTAGCCAAAACGCAGTTCACCGATATCCGAAGCTTTATACTTTGACAAATACGGGCACATTTTACTTTTTGTTTGACTCCGAACTGAAGATGAGATTTGCAAATAGGGTACATGGGGAGTTTCATTAATTTATATCACATCTGATTACATTACCGTCTGGCTGACAAATCAATGATATGAGACATTTGATGGCATTTGAGGAACATGAAGAGACTTTGTATATGGAAATTAATTTCAATGGCACCTCACGCTAGCGCTTATATTTACAAACGAATGAGCATGAGTTTGCACATTCTTATAGTTTATTTGGACTTGCTTGTAAACTTCCAATTTGTCTATTTTCGACACTTTTAGTGAATACGTTCGCTTTAACGTGGCTAATAGCAGATTAATTGAGTATGCTCTCGAATGTAACAAAAAATACACATTAATATAGTATAAATTTTGAAGAATAAATTAATGGACATTGAAGCGCAGTTGTTCAACGTAGTAAAAGTGGTAGTAAAATCGGTATTTTTGAATAGTGGTTGCAAAACATGCCATTAAAATCAGCTTACGTTTGATTCATGATCAAAACGACAACTAAAATAATCAGATCGCGCAATAAGTAAATCAATTCGTATAGTTTTAAATGTTATTCAATTATAATTTTTCCTATTATATTTTGTTTAACTATAAGTGATGCTTTCATAACATTATTAATTAAGGTATTCGAGAAAAATCAAACAATTAGTTGACTTTAAACAACGGCACTCGCATTGGTGCTTATTGGGCATTTGCAGAAATAAATGTATCATCTATTTTTAAATCATCTATGGA